AGCTGGACGGTGGTGACAGGAAGCCTCTCGAGCAAGTATGAGATAGTTGCTGTAGAAAAAATCTGCTCTCTGTTTTTCTTATGCCATCATAATGCTTGTTGGTCATACAGTAGAGCTAATCAGTGTCAAATAGACAAAAGGACAACCTTTCCATGCAGAAAATTGAAGTCCTGACTCATGTAAAAGAAGTAAGAGAGGTCCACCCACATTGTAGTAACTTTATGCTTTAGAAAATATGTAGCACATGCCTGGCTGTTCTGTTTCCAGATAAGAAGAGGACAACCTGTATGGAAGATTTTGTTTCCTCAGAGTGAATGAAATTTTGGCCTTGACTCCTAAAATGTTAATCTGGTTTATATATACACCATCAATCTGCATGTCTCAGTAAATAACCTTGGAATGTCTCACTATTTTTTTCATACTTAATGCGAATTATTTTCCAAGACCATCATTTATTGTTTATGTCCAGGGCAACCGTGTTATAATAGGCCTGTTGCGAAATCTGAACCATCTTTTCTTCAATCCTCCAGCCTAACACATCCATGAGGTCGCCCGATAACAGCAATGACACTTCTGTCCCTGACAAGCACGTGAGCACTGTCATCGGCCAAGCTGGGAGGACCATCAATATCAAACAGGTATCCTTCCTAAGAACACATTTGGCTCCTGCCAAGGGTTCTTTTGCCTGATTACCACTGATGATTACTTGAATTTCAGGCAAAGGCGGATATCATAGCTGGGACTCATCATGACAGGTATATGATAGGTTTTAGTCAATGCATTTTGAGTGCGGAGCGGATGCATAAATTTTAACTCTGAAATATAAACACATGTAATCTAACATAAATATTGGTCACATTTTTTATTATGAACTAGTAACAAAACGCTGGTTAAAACAATTCTGTGTGACTCATGATGGTTGTTGATCCATTTTAGGTTGTCGGATGCCGAGCTTGAGAAGTTTGGTCCTTATTTTCCTCACCTTGTAGACAAGTTCATAGATGCGATCGCCAAGGATGTGAAAGAAAAATCAAATGATGACATGGATTACAAGAGAGGTTATCAACAACAAACCATTGAGTATGCAAACAGTGCACTGAAACGGTATAACTGTGCCAACAATAAAACGGTAAAATTAATCTTGGTGCCAATTCCTACTTCATGCCGTGCGTGCATATTACTTTCAAATATACATCTTTTATCCCAAGTTTATTAATGCAATTTTTTTTTTCTCACCCGGAAAAAAAATTAGGCCGGCGACTATGAACTAGTTGAAGCAATTTGTAGCTGTGGAATAATGGATACAAAGGGAGTGTATGGTCATGCAAACTTCACTGCAAGGAACAACTCGAATTCAAAAGTTGATTTCTTCTTCGCGGAGTTATTTTGGGACAGCAAGAAGGATAGCCTTGTAACTACATGTGTAGTTTCACTGGAAGAGGAGGAGAGAGTTGGTTTGTTTCTAATCTAATAAATCAGCAATTTGGTTGATATGTTTGTCAAGGAACCCTAAACTGTTATAATCTGTCATGTTGCAGGTGGGTTTCGTGGCATGGAGGGTATCAACTACAGGGATGGAATGAATATACGTGTTGATCCTCAGCATTGCTATGCTTGCCGTGCAGATTTAAAGCACCCCGTGGATGGAGGACTATATGAGATTGGCCATAAAGCAATGAGCGAGTGCTATGGTTATGATTCTTAAATACAATACCATCTGTATGCCGCTTAGAAGCGAAGTATATACATACACATCATCTGCTTTTTCAAGCTGGGATTGTTCAAGCTGCTTCACAACTACTAACTTTATGTTTAGCAATTCATATTGTGATGCATGATTTTTTTTTAGCAAGTTCTGTGCACCGCCTTTTGTCGTAACAGATAAAGAGTGAACCACTGCCTCTTTAATAGTACTATAGTGATTGGAGGAGACACTGAAGCAGTGCATGGCATCAGGCCGGAATGATCACTATTTCTTAGCACAAGTTGAAATTTAGATTATTAGTGAAATACTCTGATTACACGTCTTCAGCACTAGTAGATAATACGTGGATTATTAGAGACAGACAATTAACAACTCAAATTTTCTTGTAACACTACATGAATCCCATAAACAGCTAAAGTTTGAGTTGATTTTTGTAAGTCCATAAATAGATGATTTCAAAATTCGTAACCTGATTATTTTACACAATCCAAAATCTACAAATAGCTAAACTTCAAAATAAATAATGTATGTATGTCACCAATTATAGCAATGTGGAGTGCATTTTGGAAACTATATAAAGTATATGATTTTTAAACTAAATACAACTCAATTAGAGAGATAACTTCTTTTTAGTTGGAAGTATTGCATTTCTTAGAATTCTCAGCAAGCGCCAAGTCAATCAACTAAAATATATCCCAAGCAAAAGTAATCCATGCATACAAGCATAATATGCAACAAAATATCATAACAAATCTGGCTACCATTACATGTCAAACTTATCTAGCTTGATGAGTAGTTGAAATAGAACGGTATGGGAAGATAAAGCATATCCATAAAATATAACTTGTTTCGGTTATTCTCATGATCCTCTCAAGATCATATCCCTGTTCCTGCAAAGTCATCTCCACATTAGCATGGTTCGTGATCGGTCAGTAGATTGGACGACACAGGAGTTTGAGCGCTTGGTAGATTGGACGACGCAGGGGTTTGATCGCTTGGTAGATTGGACGACACCGTTGGACCGCCCTCGAATTTTACATGCTTGTAGTAGACTCTATGGTGCAACAATTTCGCCGTCAGATCTTCAAGAAGATGCTTGAGTGTCGGGGTATAGATGGATTACGGGACAGTTTCCTTCTATCTCACGGATTCTGCGAGATCAACTTTGTCGCGACTTTGGGGTGGCTCGTGATATATGATTTCGTGGGATTTGAGCTTGAGTTGTAGGAAAGGTATTTATAAGGGTCCTACGTTAGTTGGGGCTGCCATAGGTCGACTGGAATTGGATAGAGATCGAGTTTCTTTCTTGTATTTGAAGACAAGGCCGGAATCCAAGTTTGACACAAGTTGGTTTGTATTTGGTCGCCCAAAGGAACCTTCCGGTGTCAAGGAAACTTTCTGGAGCAGAGGTGGAGATATTTTTGCTGGCCCTGGGTCGTTGGGCTTGAGCCCGCCGAATGATAATCAAAGTGAGTTTGGATCGCCAGTTTAGAGGAAAAAATTGATAAGCGGGCATGATTTCGAGTAGAAGGTGGATAGGGGTCCAAGTAACCCCTAGCTCAAATACTAGTGCACTTTGAATGAACTTGACCCAAGAGAAAAAAATGCAGAAGATAAAATAAAATTTTCCCTAGCTTACATAGTAAGCAATAACAAGGCTAGTTTTTTTTTCTTTTTTGAGGAATCATCGGGGAAGAGTTCCCCCACCTGAATATATTGGTTTAGGCGTCGATTATAAGCCATTTGGCAAACTGCTCCCCCGCGCTCGGTCTGTAAGGTACTAGATATATCCCTCTAGATTATGGTTCTCACACACTCACGATCTGATACAGGAATTGAGTTGAGCCACTGGGTGTCGTTATGCCGTGATCCACTGGATACCTTCCCCCTATTTCCTGGTCCTGGGGACCTCCTATTGGGCGCCTTATGCGCCGGTTGAGCCAACTAGCGCTCACTGCGCACGCTAGTGGGCCGGCCCATGAACACGCAAGTCAGTGCAAAAGGTATTTGCGAAAAACACCCCAAATAATGGCTCTCGAGAGGAATCGTACCCGCGCCATTTAGATACACTACGTGGTTGGCTAACTTTAGCCGAGCTACCAGGCCTTAGTGAAATATTGTACCGTGTATAGTTCAAGAACAAAACTTTAGCCGCACTATTTAGAAAAAAAGTGATTTCTTATCAAAAATAAATGTGAACAAAATTTAAATGTCCACAAATTTCAAAAAAACATTTCGAATTAGCAAAACAGTTCACGAATTCAAAAAGGTTCATGAAAACGGAAAAAGTTTATCAAATTTGAAAAAAAGTTCATCGATTTTGAAAGAAAGTTCATCGACTTAAAAAAAGGTTTTGGAAAACAGTTCACGAATTTTATAAAAAATGTCAATTTTGGAAAACAAAATACGCGGAAATGAAAAAAAATTTGTGCATTTAGCAAAAGGAAAAGAAAAAAACAAACAAACCGTTTAAAAGATGAAAAAAGAGAAAAAAAAAACAGGGCTTCACAGCTGGGAACGAATAAACAAAATATAAGGAATTCAATAGGCACGTCGTTGGTGGCCTTCCGCTGTGATTGGTATGCTGCTCTGTGAAAAAAGAAATGCTCTGGGTATCAACCTTCACAGGCCTTCGCTGTGATTACGTTGCACGCGCACCGAAAAAAGAGCAAATGGGCCAGCCCAAGCGCAGCGGGGTGTGCGCCGGTTATCAAAACGCACTGTGGCGGGCGCTTAATGCGTCAAATAGGAAATACTCTTTTGTTTTTCGTATAATTCCCAAAAATATGTTGCACTCAAACAAAATGGATGGATGATTATACTGTATTATATATAAATTAAAGTTGAGAGCAGCCAGACAACTATCTGAAAAGTTCAACAAAAGAAAAAGAGAGACAACTATCTGAAAAGGGAGGCTCAACTGAATAATATGGCACTAAATTTTCATCTCAGGAAGTAGGCACATTTTCCCCAAATCATCCATCCATTAGAATAAGCTTGAGTTTCTCCCAAATCATCCATCCTTCCTTCCATCCATTTCCAACATGGACACCAGCAGTATTAACATGGAGCAAAACATGGACACAAGTAGTATTAACATGGAAGAAAGCAATTGGTCTAGATCGACATTGACCATAGCAGCAAAATCATGAATGAGCAGGTGCTCCATCCATTTCCTAATTAAATCACTCTAACAAGGCAAAAACTGTCTCTGACTACCAACCACCATCTGGGAACCATCACACACGCAGCACAGATTCATTTCAGCACGCGCTCGACCTTTGGAACCAACCAATCAATCTGTCCAATCGCCGAACACCTGGAATCAAAAACACCAGGGAGGTAAGCTGAGCAACTCAACAAGCAGACAAAGCAACGCATGCTGATTATCAACAAATTCCAAGTTTCAAACATATAACAAAATAAAAGTAAGTTAGCATATCGATCCCTGTCAATAGCTTGGACTAGTTATTTATTGCTTCTTGTACCACTGAATGCATGGAAAAGAAAGAACCAAAAGCACAAGCAATTGGGCGTAACACAATACACTATATCCACATGCATCAACCTCTACGTTCAGACCCGACCAGCAGTTTCACTTATCCAAACTTCATTTCTAGCACTAACAATCAATTAAACTTCACCAAACACTACTGTTAGAGAGCCATGTGTATTCTAGAACGGCTCCTTCTACTATTATGATTGCTACCTTATCTCCTCTAATCTACTTGCATATTTTGGCATCCTCCTATCCTCCAACCTGCATGCTTTCTGTTACCCCTCGTGACTCATTTCTCTCCAGACGCTACTTACAACTAGCCACTATATTTGTTTAGCATCCCTCTCAAACTCTTGTTGAAATCAAACCCCACCCAATTGCTTACTTGTACACATCAATTAAATAAGCTCTTGTGCGATACAAGTCTTGACACTAAATTATCATAAGGCTTAAGAAATGAAAGGTTAAAATCATGAGTAAATTACCTCCACAACTCTGAACGAATAAAGTTCTTTGAATGACGTCACATCAACCTTCAGGAAACCACCAGAGCCAAAAGTGACTCCGTGTGAGTCTTGGCAGTCAAAAAACGGACCGTTCTCCAAAGCAAAAGATATAACACTGATAGCATGTGTTGGTGCGCGAGCTGAATCACCACAAACATTTTTCGGATCATATTTGTAAACTTCACCAGTGTTCCAGCACTTGTCGTAATTTTTACTGATACGAATAACTGCCAGAAGCGGCCCAACTCGCCGTAGCTCATATAAAGCAGCTCTTATGTGATGAATGTTGTCCAAATCATAAGAACGCAAGCCACTGACACAGTATCGAAGACCATATTGCGGTCGACCCTGAAACGCAAAACATAGTTATTACAAAATGTTCATGAACGCACTAATGACCGTACATAGTCAGGTATACCATACAGAGTCATTACCTGGTAATCAGTTTCGCTTAGCACACCGGCATAAGCCAGCTTCTTCAATAGACGCTTGGCAGCCGTCATATTAGGATATTGTTGTTTCGCCTCATCACTTAATTCCTTCAGGTGTTGCACTGAGAAGAAAATGTCCCTTCCTTCTAAAAGTCGGAAAATAGACTCCATTGTAACTGCCGTGCTAAAGTACATACACCACTCTGCAATTATATTATAAGTTGACAAAACTTAAAATAGTGCATCAACATATGACCCATGCAAAAGAGACAGACTTGTGGAAAAACTAAGCACAGTTTATCCTTTTTTTTATGTAACTGTTGAACTGGTATGGGCTGCTGGCCCATCACCGGCAGGGTCCGGCGAGGAGGTGGCGGCGCATGTGGGCATGATATCGCGCCTGCGCGTGCGTGCGTGCGGCTCTGTGCTGGCTGCGTGGACAACGATGGCTGGCTGGGTCTGGCGCGAAGGTGTGCTGCGCTGCTGGAGTTGAGCTGCTGGTGCTGCTACGTGCGCGGCAGAGGAAGAGGAAGGAGGCGAGTTGCTGCTGCTGTTTGAGGAGAAGGAGGCTGCTGCTGTTGCTTGTATTTGAGGGTGATTTGCTCTCTGCTGAGCTGCTGCTGTGTCTGCTGGTTGAAGAACAGGAGGAGGAAGAAGAGGGGTGTTGTCCTGATGCTATGCTGCTGCTGCGCCTGTTGCTATGCTGCTGCTGCTGATTGGAGAAAAGAGAGGTGCTACAGGCTACCTAGGAATCTAGTGCAAGCTAAGAAATAAATTGAAACGTAGCCACAACTAGCTACTAAAACAACTTCCCCTGAATAGTCAAACGGAAAAAATAATAAGTAGAAATAACCGTACCATGAAACTGATTTTCAACGGGCGACAACGCTGTTAATCCGTTATCCGTAACGTGGCGCCTCCACGTAAACCGCTCACGGACTCGCTCATATTTGGCTTGGATATTAGCTACAGATACAAAAAAAATTCATTGAGAAATTGATAGATATTTAGACAAGTAACTATTGTAATACATGCCAAAACAAACAAAGGAGAATTGGACTGGAGCCCAAGTATACAAGAGCAGGGCGACAAGGCAGGCAGAGGTGACATGTATACCATGGAGCATGCTGTACGTATACCGCAAGGAAATTAAGAAGAATTCTTTCCTGCTAGGTGGTGGTAGGTGTCTATGTCGACAACTCCACTATGATTACAGGTATCAGGGACATAGTGGAGCTGAAGAATCAAATGCAACAAGTCTAGAGCATGAGTGAGCTTGGTGTTTTGAGTTACTACTATTTCTTTTCTTTCAAAAAGGGGCGCTTTATTATTACTTAAAAGATTTAAGCAGTCACAAGTTAACAGCAAAGATTTTAGAAAGATGCAGGCTGTAATCCTTGTGCAACCCCACCCCAAATTATGGTGAGCATTGTAGCATAGCATCGGTAAGGAAGATTTTAGAATGACAGCCTGTTGTAGATGCAACGGCATACCGGAGCCTGTTGTAGATATTTGGTGAATAGTACAGTAGAATACAAGGCCTGATCTGTGCGCTTACCCAGCCGACGGTCCATGAAGCCAGCCGACGATCCCCGCCGCCGCCGCCGCTCCGTGGAAGAAGCTGGGCACCTCAGATCTGAGATAGAAGCCTTCTCCTGCAGCAATTGAGAGACGGCCGTGCTGGCGGCGGCGGAAGGGTAACGAGGAGGAACCTCGGCCGTCCGTCGGCGGGGCGAGGACGACGGCGCCGACGAACAAGGACGGTGCGAGGTGAGTCGGCCGAAAGATTGGAAGGCCTTCAGGAGAACCTTTCTTTACCCGGCCTTCCACCAAACCCGGCCCGGCCCGGCACGGTCGTTTAGCCCTAATAATAAGTCGTCTGCTTTCGGCTATTTGGGCTGTTTCTGGGCCCACTAATAGATAGAAAACTCCCTGATATCTGGCATTTCCTATTTAACGCTGTTTTCCGCAAACCGGTTCCTATTTAGCGCTAATGAATATCACTAGTGTCCAATGGCTGAGGTGGTCAGCTAATGTCAAACTAGCATTGCGTTCGCGAACGATTCAGCTTCGATTCCTTACGCAGCCTTTTTTTTTCGTTTTGTTATAGCGATTTTGTTCCCTACGCTTTCCCATCGCGGGCCGGCCCAGCAGGGCCCGAACAGTGGCAAATCCTCCCGCCGCACTGGGCCGGCCCACTTCTTTTTTCTATTTGTGAAAACGCAAAAATCTTTCTAGCAACAACCGTGTTTCGAACCAGGGATCTCACAACCACAGGCGCGCTCCTAATTGACAAGCTTTTAACCTTTTTCTATTTCCTGTTTTCGTGGAAAGAGTTTTTTTTCTTTCTTTCTTCTTTTCTGCTAAGCACGAGATTTTTTTTTTCAATTTTGTAACTTTATTTCATATCGATGAACTTTCTTTTAAAATTGATGAACATTTTTCAAAATTGATGAACTATTGTCAAATTTGATGAACTTTGAAAACTGTTCAGTGTGTATAAAAAATGTTCATCGTGTAGAGAAATTTTGTTCAGCATGTATTCAAAAAAAGTTCAGCGTATTTTAACAAAATGTTCAGTGTTCTTTGAATAATGTTCATCCTATACTAAGAAAATGTTCAATGTGTATTCAGAACTATTTTTGAATACGCAGGCTTTCTTTGCATGCTCAAGAACTCCATCCGTAATATTTGAACATATTTTCAATAATTGAAATGTATAAATGCCACAGTGTATTGTGCAATAAATAGCGCGTCTTTTTTCTGTTTATTTAAACTTTCGCGATAGGAATATCAGCTAGCAGTTAGCTGCTGCAGTGGCTAGCCTCAAAGCTCCCCTGATATCTCTAATGATCAACCAGCAGTCCAAGGGTGAGAAAAAAACTGTTAAACATATGATTTGTGGGAACTGGCTCAACACTCTAGGGGTGGCCTATCACATATATTTATAAGTGTACACAATATACAGGTTACACAGTTGGGCTACGTTACAAAGTCTAACACCCTCCCTCAATCTCAACTCACTCCTGATGCATCTAGGAGGTTGAGATTGCGCCTACAGACCTCGAACATGGGAGAAGGTAGAGGCTTGGTGAAGATGTCGGCAAGTTGATCCTTTGAGGAGATAAACTTGATCTGTAGTTGTGCAACACGTTCCCTCACAAAATGATAGTCAATCTCAATGTGTTTGGTTCGTGCATGAAACACCGGGTTTGTCGAAAGAAACGTAGCACCGATGTTGTCACACCAAAGAACTGGAGGATGTGACTGGGAGATTCCCAGCTCTCGAAGCAAAGACTCAATCCAGATAAGCTCAGCAGTCGCATTGGCAACTGCTTTGTACTCGACCTCTGTGCTGCTGCGAGAAACAGTGGCTTGCTTGCGTGCACTCCAGGCGATCAAATTAGGACCCAGAAATACAGCATATCCCCCCGTGGATCGCCTGTCATCCAGACACCCAGCCCAATCAGCATCTGAGAATGCAGATAGAACAGCAGAGGAACTAGGTCGCAGATGAAGACCATAGGAGACAGTGAGACGCACATAACGAAGAATGCGCTTCATAGCAGACCAGTGCACATCTGTAGGAGCATGAAGATACTGACATACCCTGTTAACCGCAAATGAAAGATCGGGACAGGTGATAGTCAGATATTGCAAGCCACCAACAATACTTCGATACTCCGTAGCATCCGTAGAAGAGAGCGGAGAATCAGCAGTAGCCGAGAGCTTATCAGTAGAGGACATGGGCGTGGGTGATGGCTTACACTTGAGCATACCAGCACGGCGCAAGAGATCAAGGGAGTACTTCTTCTGGGTGAGTGCTAAGCTGCCACGAGACTAATGCGCAACTTCAATGCCCAGGAAGAAGTGTAGCTGTCCCAAGTCTTTTACCGTAAAATCTCTGCCAAGAGCAGTCACAAGAGCATCAGCAACCGTTGCAGAGGAGCTGACCAGAATAATGTCATCCACGTACACAAGCAAATACACAGTCAGACTGGGGCGCTGAAATAAGAACAGCGAACTGTCAGCTGTCGACGGAACGAATCCATGAGTACGAAGGGCCGAAGCAAGACGAGCATGCCAGGCACGAGGTGCCTGTTTCAGTCCATAGAGAGCCTTCGTCAGACGACAGAGATGATGAGGCTGATCGGGATCAACAAACCCTGGTGGCTGCCGCATGTAAACCTCCTCTTCAAGCAGCCCATGGAGAAAAGCATTCTGCACATCAAGCTGTCAAAGAGACAAACCATGAGAGACCGCAAGAGACAGAAGAAGCGGATGGTAGTAGGCTTAACAACCGGACTGAATGTGTCATCCTAGTCCAGACCCTGTCGCTGTTTAAACCCTCTAGCCACGAGACGCGCCTTGTAGCGCTCAATAGATCCGTCCGCATGTCTCTTGACTTGGAAACCCACTTCGAATCAATGTTGACGCGAGGCGGAGGGGGAACCAGTGTCCATGTCTCATTATGCATAAGAGCGTGGTACTCTTGCTCCATAGCTGCCCGCCAGTGAGGGATACTCATAGAGGCCTCATAGTTGCGTGGTTCATCAGTAGGATCTGCAACAGAATGAGCAAGACAGGCAGCCAAATATGTGACAGTACCATCATGACGCTGCTTGGGTTGAACAATACTGCTGCGGCTACGAGTATGCGGTCGTTGCGGTGCAACGAGAACAGGAGCCGGCGGCGCCAACATGGGAGATGATGACGGCAGGGCGGGCGACGGGAGCCCAGGCGAAAGCTCAGTCGAGTCGACGGTAGGCCCAGCCGATCCAGGTGAAAGGGGCGGCAGGGACATACGGGCGGGCGACGAAGGCGATGACGGAGGCGAGGCCGGGCGTGGAGACGGTGACGGGGACCGCTCGAGCCGTCCAAGGGAGACCGTCGGGGATGTGGGCCGCGCCTCCATGGACGTGGGCCGTGCCTCGGCTGGCACCGGCCCAGGTTCGGAGGCCATCGCCGGTCCAGTTGCATGGGCGGACGCGGCTCCAAAGACGGGGTCGACGACGGGTGCATGCACGTGCACCGGCCGATCAACATGCGTGACCGGAGTTGTATCCGGAAGTAGTTCCAGGCGAGCACCACGTCCAATACCTGCACCATGGTTAGGTAACAACACAGGCCAATATGCAACATCTTCAAATTGGCCAAGCATAATAGGAGATGAATGCATAGATGGGGGTGTGGCAGGTTGTTGCGGCATGGCGGAAAAGGGGAAGACGTTCTCATCAAAGACAACATCACGGGATATGTAGACATGATTTGTTGGCACATGAAGGCACTTGTAGCCTTTGTGAAGAGAACTATAACCCAGAAACACACATTTCTTAGACCGAAATTCAAGCTTTCTATGATTATATGGACGAAGATGGGGCCAACAGGCACACCCGAACACCTTAAAAAAGGTATAATCAGGAATTTCATGTAAAAGGAGCTCAATAGGAGTTTTCATATTAAGGACACGCGTAGGTAGTCGGTTAATATGAAAACATGTTGTAGCAAAGGCATCACTCCAAAAACGAAAGGGTACAGAAGCGTGAGCTAGGAGTGTGAGTCCGGTCTCAACTACATGTCGATGCTTGCGCTCAATAGCGCCGTTCTGCTGATGTGTATGAGGACATGATAAACGATGAGAGATCCCAAGCTTATTAAAGAAAGTATTGAGGTTGCGATATTCGCCCCCCCCCAATCAGACTGAACATGAATAATCTTATGCTTGAGAAGACGTTCTACATGTACTTGGAACTGAATGAATATATCAAACACATCAGATTTGCGCTTAAGAAGATAAAGCCAGGTAAAGCGACTATAGGCATCAATAAAGCTAACATAATAGTTGTGACCACTCACAGACGTTTGGGCGGGACCCCACACATCAGAAAACACAAGTTCAAGAGGACTCGTTACTTGACGAGTAGAGGAAACAAATGGTAACTGATGACTTTTGCCTTGTTGACAGGCATCACACATGGACATCTCCTTATTGCTAGACTCGATAGGCAGCTCATGACGGTGAAGTATATGGCGAACTATGGGAGTGGCAGGGTGACCAAGGCGAGAGTGCCACTGGGACGATGACACACGAACACCACTAAAGACGCGCGGGGCGGATGGATCCTCCAAGCGGTATAAGCCATGGCTGAGACGACCACTAAGCAGAATTTCCCGGGTGGCTCGGTCCTTAACAAAAAGATCAAACGGGTGAAATTCACATAGGACATTGTTATCAAGAGTGAGTTTTGGAACAGATAACAGATTAAGAGTCACCGAGGGGACCCATAAAATATTGCGAAGATGAAGCTGCCTAGATGGATGACTAGTTAATAGAGATGCTTGACCAGCGTGAGAGATGGGCATACCTACACCGTTGGCGGTGTGAACCTTGTCGTGACCGTAGTATGGTTGGTGGGTGGACAGCTTGGTGAGCTCGTTCGTCATATGATTCGTGGCGCCAGTGTCCATATACCATGCAGGATCAATCGGGTATGACGGTGTAAAGCCGGAATCGACGCGTGTATCCTTGCTCTTGGCAGCAACATGAGCAGCAGGAGGGCCAAAATCCGCCATG